TGCTCTGTGAGCTTTCTCCCTGGGAAATGCAGCCCTTGGGATCTCCTGTCGTTGGTGGTTCTAAAGCAGGGGTGGGGGACATGTGGCCCACAAGCGAAATCCTAGAATGACAGGATGCGGACCCTCATGGCCCTTGCAGAAGAACGGTCCCTCACCCTGCTGCCTCCCTGCACTTGCTGTTCGCCTTGGAGACCTCACCGCTGTTTGGCTGAAAGTTGGTCATGGGGCTGAAAGTAAAGTTTCCATGCTAGTTGGAAACCCCGGCATGAGAAAGATGTATGTGCTCATGAATTAAACTTCCCCTGGGTTCCCTCTGACCATATGCCAGGGCTGTGAATAGCTTTGCCCCCATGCTGAGTCCATTAGAGAGTGGATCCTGGCAGATGCAGGTCGATTACAATTTGATGCCTTATCATTTGGTCTCCCTTCTGACCCATCGTAAATTTGTTCTAGTTTTGATTATTTCACACTTTATTTGATTGAGGTTTTCCTCTGTTTTACTTTGTTGTGGCTGTTAGTTTTGTTTGTCTTTTTATTTTTGTCTGTTATTCTATATATGAAATCCAGGATAGGTAAATTGATAGAGATGAATGATTTCTCGGGGGTATGGTGGGAGATGGGGGAAATGAAAGGCAGATTCCAATGGGTACAAGGAAGAAGAAAACGTTCTAAAATGATGGTGATGATGATTGCACAATTCTTTTTGATATGCTCGGATTGTATAATATGTGGATTGTGCACCAATAAAGCAGTTTCGAAAAAGAAAGATGTGTGAGCAGTGTGAGCCCCTGAAAGCTCTTGTTCAGTGGAACCCCCAGCCTCTAACTCTGTGCAGAAGAGGCGGCTTTATGCTGGAGGAAGCCAGTGGTCAGATGTCAGGGAGGCTTGGCCCAGCAGCAGCCTCTTGGCTGGATTATGGGCAGTCGATGTCCCCAAGGACAGAGAGCAGCCAGGGAGAGACACAGCCCAACTCATCCACCCTCCCGCATCCCCCAGCCTTCTCAGGAATCTGGCATCATCATTGCTGGCATTGGAAACATGAATGCTCAATCACAGGAGCACTGGTTTCCTTTATACCTCGGGCTGACAAACAAAACTAACTCATTACAACTGAGTGGGTCCCGACTCAGAGTGGGACACTGGGACAGGGAGCACTGCCCGGTGGGTTTCCAAGACGCTGACTCTTTACAGGAATGGAAAGCTTCATCTTTCTTCCTCAGAACTGGTGACCTTGTGACCTGTAGCCCACTACCCACACACTTACTCTGTGTGTGATAATGGGTGCTTCTGAACATGTGTGTTGAATGCTGGAAATTTCACTCAGAATTAGAACTTTCTGGAATTATGTGTAGGGTTTTTTTTGGTTGTTTTTGTTTTGTCTATCTATTTAAGGTAGGCATGAGAAGCAAGCCAGAGGAGAAAGCAAAGGGTGCTGAGGGGAGGAGAAAGCAGGGGGAAGGGAGCAATGAGCAAATAACATCATGGACGGGGGGAAAACTGGCAATCTAAAATTGAAGGTGAGGGAGCTATAGAGTTCCTGGTAGTTTTGGAGCAGCCGTAATTTGGCTGAAAGGAATTATTGAGAGGAAAATAGGGGTTAGCCTGATAGTGGAGCAGGAAGAAGGTAAAAGGAAATAGAGGGGGGAAAAGGAAGCAAAACTATTTATAGAGGTATAAACAGAAACGTGTACATATATAAATGTATGACTGCACAAAATAGAGGTCTTGGTCTATGTACTATGTTTATATGGAAATACATTGAGGTAGTAGATTGACTTTGGGCTTCTACTTAAGTATTTCCTCAACACAAGAACACTTTGTCCTAATAACCTGGCACTGGGTGATGCCCACCACCCCGACACAATCACTCAAGACAAACTGGGTGCATGAGCAAATGTGGTGAAGAAAGCAGATGGTGCCTGGCTATTAAAAGATACAGCGTCTGGAGTCTTCAAAGCTTGAAGCCAAACAAGTGGCTAACTAGCAGGGAATCAACAAAGCCCTCATGGAAGAAACATACCCGCCTGTATAATCATGAGGGGTTGATGGGAAAAGACATCAGAAGTTCAAAAATAAACCATCTCATTGAGATGGTGAAAGAAGGAGAGACCCAGAGCCCATCCGGGGATACTTGTACATTCCACCCAGAGGGGCTGCACGGACAAGAAGATCTATCCAGGTGGCAGTTTAGCACCAGCAAAACACACAATGCTCCTCTAGTTCTTTAATCCTTCCTCCCCGCAATATTATGACTTCAGTCCTATCTCAAAAATCCTGCTAGACTGGTGTACATACACCGGTACAGACGAGAGCTTTTGATATATAGAATTGAGGATAGACAAACCCCTCAGAAACAGTAATGGGAATAACAATTCCAGGAGGTCAGGGGAAGGAAAGGGGAAGGGAGGGGAGAACGGATATCAATGGTGGCTGAATAGCCCCCCTTGAGAGGGACAAGTGCCAGGACAGTAGGTGAAGGGATAGAATGAGTGGTGTAAGAGATATGTAAATAATAATAACAATACATAATATATAAAAGGTTAGTGGGGGTGACAGGTTGGGGGAAGGAGGGAATAAAGAGGAGCTGATATCAAAGGACTCAAGAAAGAAGATAATGTTTTGAAATTGTTGATGCCAACATTTGTACATGTCTGCTTGATATACTGGACGTATGGGTTGTTATATGTAAGAGCTCCCAATAAAATCATTTATTAATTTCAAAGAAGAAGAAGAAGGAGCTGGGAAATGTAGGTTAGC